TGTGTAGTACATGTACATAGGTAAGTAGGGCATGGCCATGAAATATTTGGAAGAAGAAAGAACCTATACGTAGAAGAGAGGTCCCCCATTTGAGACTGGCGTGAATCTTTATATAATGTTATTTGTGCAGTTGTAACTTCCCGTAGCATTTCCTCTTTTCTTGCCATGATGACCTCTTATCTTTGACTAATATATTGTTATTATTATTATAAAATAATAATAATAATAATAACAACAACAACAACAACATCAACAGCAACAGCAGCAACAGCAACAGCAGCAGCAGCAACAACAGCAACAACAGCAACAACAACAACAACAACAACAACAATAATAATAATAATAATAATAATATGGCATGCATATTATATTATTCCATCATGAGTCCCCCACTTTCTTAACCGCAAGTATTTTTCGGTATAAGAAAGTAGAAAAACGGATGTTCACCGAATAAAAATGATAACACTCGGAGTGCATCCTTAACGAGCAGTGTAGTCTGGACTGCATGTTTGTGCGCAGAGCACCAAGCTACGTTTGTACGCGAAGTACCAAATTAAAGTATGTTTGTGCGCGGAGCACCAAATTAAAGTATGTTTGTGCGCGGAGCACCAAAGTTCTGACTTCCCTGCTCGGAGCATTGAAGATGATAATGAAACTCACAGTCAGGTACACGGAGTACCTAGGGGTTCATTACGATCATCTCCTGTAATTGACATATATGACAAATGATCAGCGGGGCATGCCCTTAATATCGGTTTAAATGTGAAATTAAAAATTGAAGATAGGTTCAGAAATCTCTACCTTCCTTTAATTTATTGTGACCAGCACCAAACTTATTCTTCGGAACTGTTGTTGTAAGAGGTAGAGCGGAGCTACCGTGAAATTTAAGAGGTAGCGCTGAGCTTACCGTAAAATTTCGGTGATGGCAGCGCAGGCCTTGCCTCGCAGTATAATTGGTAGCACAGAGCTTACCATATTACATTATATAAGTGACAATAGCAGTTTTCGAATAAATTGAATTGGTAGTTGGTCACATTTACAAGTTGAATAATAATAATAGTAATAATAATAGCATAATAATAGTAGTTATCTTCAATATTCGTGAGGATGGAGAGATAAATTCTCAGGCAAAGAATCATGACATTCCAAAGCCATCAACTTCAAATAGCATACAATCACTTGCATGGCTATATTAGTGGATTGTCTCCAACTTTAAACAGCATACAACCACTGGATGGCTAAATTTGTGAATTCCACAGAATGTAACCGTTGTTGCCGTCCTCCCTTTGCGTTAATGTCGGTGACCCTTCCATGTGCAGCCATCGTTGAAACTGCGCCACCAGATATAGCAGTCGACCGCGTGAGAGTAATTGCAGCAGTAGACGGGCGCAACTACAGAGCCCGAACTAGAAAACCGAAGCCGTCGCCCCCACCTTCCCTCCGTCCGTTCTCTGACTCGGATCCCACCTCAGCAATGGTTTGATGGCAGGTTTGGGCTTCCCGTTGGCAAACAGAGAGTTGAGGAAATTCATGAGGCGAGCCTCCGGCGAGATGGGTTGTTTCACCTTCTTCCGATTCGCGTACATCTTCATGGAGGCGGATTTGGATTTCACTAAATTCTCATGCTCGGTTTTAGATTTCTCGACGGTACACTAGTACAAAAAACATCAATAAAATCGAATAATTCGCGTCCAAAGTTAGAACTTTGGACGCCTAAAGTATAGTGCGGTGGCATCTTTGTAATTAAAATGCCATTATATAAATAATTTTATTTATTTATTTATTTTTAAAACAATATAGGCGTCCAAAGCTCTGTACTTTGGACGCCAATATTAAATGCCTCGTATTATTCGCGTCCAAAGCTCAGTATTTTGGATGCGAATAATAGAAGCACATTCATAACAGGCGTGTTATTATTTTTTATCCAAAAAAACCCTAGCAGCAGATCAGATCGCACGCACCGCTCTCCATCTTCCCGCCGTCCATCAGCTCCAATCTTCATTCTTCACTTCGATCGTCGACGCCGTCCATCAGCTCTCCATCGTCCCCGCCGTCCACCGCTCTCCATCTTCCCGTCCCGTCTAGCGCCCCATTGTCACTGCTTCACTTCGACTTCGATCTTCATCGTCCACCGCACGCCGATCGACGTCCCCACCGCTGCCGCCCAAGCTCGCCGCCGCTGACGCCTCCGGTCTCCAAGCTCGCCGCCGCAGCCACGCACGCAGACCGTCGCCGCAGCTACGCACACCGACCGCCGCCGTTGGAAAGGTACGTAATTTTTTTATTTTTATTTTTTTGTTATTTTTTTTCGAAAATCAGTAATTATTTTAATTATTTTTTGTTATTTGTTATTGTTGTTTATTTATTTTAAAATTTGTTGTGTATTATTGTATATGTTAGGCATTGTTGTGATTTATCCATAATAACCTGCTACTAGTTATGTGATATTCGTGTATTAGATCAATTTATGTGATGCAATGGTACTGCTAGGTTCTCTAACATGCTCATTCCATCCTCTGCGTGCTATAAGGAATCTTCAGTATCTTGCATTAGTCTTTATTGATGCCTGGGTGATGATTGAATTTCACTAATTAGATATGTCTGTTCTGCTGTATTGTTCCATGCTTTAACTACTTAGTCAGATGTTTGGTTGCAGATGATTCTAATTTATTCCTGCATTTTTCTCATTACTATGAAAGCACTTACAGAACTTAGATATATAGTATATTACATGTTTCAGGACTACTCACCACAGAATTGCCTCATGCTAACATAGTGCTTCTTTGTTGCAGTTTCATTGAACAGCGTCATTGCTGTATTAGATGCAGATTTCCACTCTCTTCCTTCTACTGAGAATAGACAGCAATATGGACCTGTATGTTTCATTCAATCATTGCTATTTCCACACTATAATTAATGCATACACACACAAAGAGAGACATATATATTGCTATTTCCCTAAACTAGTGACTTTAGCCCAATCACTTTTACATCAAACTTGCTTACTTGATTTAATCACTTAATTTCCCTATTGAGTCCAAGTATTCGTTTTCACTGATAAGGATCACAGTGCCTTCATAGGAGAAGTCCGGTGGCAAAATTGTATATCGCCACATAAATGTCCTACTTCTTTTTCGTGGTCGAAACTATGATCTATATATGATCATAAATGTCCTACTTTTTCGTGGTCGAAACATACCTAAATTATAGACATGTTAGACATGTGTTAGTGATTTTTTTAGCCTCCCATACAGAGGAAGTTAGGGTAATTACTGTTAGACGTTTGTGTTTTTGAAATAACATAAAGAAGATAAATGAGGTATTTATAAACCTATCCCAATGTGTGAGTTTAGTTCTGGTGTGGTTTACATGTTCCCAGATTTTGGAATGAAATTGAAGTATGATGGCAAGAGAAGGGTGCATGCAGCAGTTGGTAAATCAGCTGGGCATTGGTTCACGGCTGCAGATGGAAAGAGAGTAAGTTCAAGTTCATTACAAGTATCATTGATGATCTTCAGCATTTCTCATTGTTATTTTCTGCATTTTGTCATGTTCATTATACAATATACATTGATGTCAAATGTAGTCTAGGATTCAATTACTTTGATCTTGTTCCTTTAACACTCTTGAAATTAATGGTGTCTCATGTTGCTATTTATTAACCAAATCGTGCAATTACAGTTCCAGTTCCAATAGCTCTATTTTTGAGTTGTCTAACGTAGGCCGAATATCTACGCATAGTCTATGTGTTTGTTCTTCATCTTCAACAAATAATAAGTCTTCTCTACATTCCAGTTTAATAAAAAATGGATAGGTCAGTTGATTTCTACTTCCACCGCCGTTCTCTCTTTCTCTCTCTATTTTTTTTTTTTGTTTTTTTCCAATTAACCTGTGATGGCTTGCTACAGGTATAGTATAATCAAGGAAGTTGGTAATGGTACATTTGCACGTGTTTGGCGAGCATTAAATAAGCAAACTGGTGATGTGGTGTGTGCTACTTTCATCTTTAAAACTTGACCTTTAGCTTTTTATTTTTTATTTTTATATCAGATCTTCCATTAAACATTATTGCTGACCAGGTTGCAATAAAAAAAAATGAAGAAGAAATATTATTCATGGGAGGAGTGTGTAAATTTGAGAGAAGTCAAGGTAAAACAAAATTTCCCCATTTTCCTTTAATATGACCTCCCTCTGTCATAGATAAAAATTGACATTTGTTTCATTCGCAGTCATTGAGGAGAATGAGCCATCCAAATATTGTAAAGCTCAAGGAAGTAATTAGGGAAAATGACGTCTTGTTTTTTGTGTTTGAATATATGGTACATTGTGCTTGTTACATGGTTTTTTATTTCTCTTTGCTATAGGTTTTAAGTAGTATTAAAAAAAAATTTACACACCTTCCAGGAGTGTAACCTGTACCAGCTTATGAAGGACAGAGTAAAGCTTTTCTCAGAAGCTGAAATTAAAAATTGGTGCTTCCAAGTATTTCAAGGTCTTGCACACATGCATCAACGGGGATATTTTCATCGTGACCTTAAGCCAAGTAGTTATTTGAATTTTATCTTCTTTTGATATAGAATTATAATATATTTATGCTATTGTAAGAACATATTATTGACTGACTTTTGATATCCAATCACTAAAAAGATATGATGATTATCAATAAGGTGTTAATGCTGACTTTTCAGTTGACTTCCTTTATATTTAACCTTCGTCACTTTTATTTGTTTTTTCTTTCACCTTTTACCATGAGTTATGAACATTAGTAATTTGATTTACACCTCCTAATGCTCTTTGCTCTTTTAAGATGTGGAATTTTGCAGCACTGTGAAATTGTTCAACATGCCATATACATGCATTCTAAATGAAATGTTATCATAATTTCTTAAGTTTATAAACTATGAAATTGTATTTTACTTTGATCGGCTGCTGGTTTTATTGTTGATGATCATTGAGCTTATATTTATGCTACTGTTAAGTGTACTTCAGAAGCGTGTGGTCATTGGTTCTACACATAATTCTTGTGGGGTATGTATCATATTTATGTCTAATCTTTCATGCCTCCCAAGTTCTGCAGCCTGAACTTTCTCCATGTTTAATGGAAGGCTTTTTACCTGTTGACAGGGATGGATGCACAAGTATCTTATGCATTTCATTTTGAACGGAGTAGAATCTAGAAAAATTCAAAAATCAGCTTGTTAATCAGGTGCCAATGCATAATTCTATTGTGCTTTCATGTTATGAGTTTTTATATGCTTTCCAATGTGGTAAGAAGATGGAGCTTTTGAGCTTAATATTCTTTTGGCTTGGTCAGAAAACATATGCAAAGCTCGGATGCACACAAGGATGGTTTGCTGCCTCAGTCTTTCATCCTTCATCAAAGTGAGTCTATAAGTTTAGTTATTAGATTTCTTTTTGAAAAGCATAATGAATGCAATGCTGAGAGTTGCTGATAATATTGTATTAAGTACAAACTTAAAAGCTTAGGCTTTTATTTTTATTTTTGTTTGACACTGTCAATGGAAAACCATAAATATTCTGGTTCAGAAGTGGATCTTAAGATTTTTCCAAGTATGTTTAGATTATCTTTTTAGATTTAAATATATTATGCGCCTATAAGTTTAATACCGCAAAAGATGACAATTTATTGTTTGTCATATTATGTATTAGTATTGATTTCAGTTTTTTTTTTTTATCTTAAATATAAAAATATAAATATATATATATATAATACGCATACAAAGTTCATCATGAACTCTACGCGTATAGTATTTTTTTTTTAAATACAAACACTATACGCGTCCAAAGTTCATGAACTTTGGACGCGTATAGTGTTTATTTTTTTTAATAAAAATACTTTACGCGTCCAAAGTTCGTCAACTTTGGACGCGAATGATCATTTTTCGCGTCCAAAGTTACTTTAGACGCTAATTGTATATAAAATTAGCGTCCCCTACATCTGCGTCCAAACAACTTTGGACGCCTTTTAGCATTAACTTTGGACGCAAATGACTGTTTTTGTACTAGTGGTAGTTTTGACTAGCTTAGGCCTCAGAGGCTCGTCTGACAAAGGGTCGCATGCTCAACTTTGGTTGCTGCTTGTGGATGTATTAGCTTCTGAGGATAATTCTTCACAGCCATAGGTTACTTTGAGAGAAGAACATGCTTTGTGATTACGCATGCATAGTGTAAATGCCCCTCCAAAACAATACGGTCAAAAGTTTTTTTTTTTTTTTTTTTTTTTTTTTTTTTTTTTTGTGTAAAATTGCCATGGATATTAGAGATAACATACTGGATGGAGAATAAAAATTGTGTGGAATGATTGAGATGAAGTTTTTGTGAATTGCGTGTATTCGATCTAAATCTTATCATCGCTGTGGATGAATGACAGTAGAGAGAGCGCTTAAGCTTGTACAGCCGCTCTCAACAAGAGCACCATTGATGGAATTAATTAACCCGGGGGTCCGTGTTAATTAACCCAATTAATGAATAGACACCTCCATGGAGAAAATATAAATGATAAAAGGATTGCAGGAACCAATAAATAAGAAATAAATATGCAGAACACAAGATATTTAACGTGGAAACCAATACGGTGAAAACCACGAGCCTTTTTGGGCTAAGCCAAGCCGTAATCCACTAAGTTGTGTAGTACATGTACATAGGTAAGTAGGGCATGGCCATGAAATATTTGGAAGAAGAAAGAACCTATACGTAGAAGAGAGGTCCCCCATTTGAGACTGGCGTGAATCTTTATATAATGTTATTTGTGCAGTTGTAACTTCCTGTAGCATTTCCTCTTTTCTTGCCATGATGACCTCTTCTCTTTGACTAATATATTGTTATTATTATTATAAAATAGTAATAATAATAATAATAATAACAACAACAACAACAACAACAACAACAATAATAATAATAATAATAATAATAATAATAATAATATGGCATGCATATTATATTATTCCATCATGAGTCCCCCACTTTCTTAACTGCAAGTATTTTTCGGTATAAGAAAGTAGAAAAGCGGATGTTCATCGAATAAAAATGATAACACTCGGAGTGCATTGTAACACCCCGTGTTACGGCCCCTAAAACCATTTAATTAATCAATCAATAGCCCAAGAGAAGGAATAAATCATAATGATTAATTAGGGAAAAAGGCCCACCAGAGTCCATGGGCCCTCATATATAAACCCAACCCCTAAACCCAATCCTTAGTTCCAAAAGGAATAGAATTAGCGAGCCTATAATATTAGTTCCTAATTAGGACTCCTAAATATATAAATAGGGGACTTAGGATGCACCTAGAACTTCCCACAAGAATAACGCCCCACCACCCCAAAAGAGCTCCAAGAATCCCCTTAGGAGAAATCAAGAAAGCAAGGAAGCTTAAAGAAAGATCCTTCATAGCCAAGGAATTAATTAAGGCTAAGAGGTAACCCATGTCTCAACAAAACCTATTTTCATAGCTATGATTCCCCCTTAGGGTTTCCCCCATATTATTGTGTATTGGCGAGATATGATGATTATTATTGATGTTTGATGTGATGATCCCATGAGGGATCTTGATAATCTTGATATTGGGAGATTCTTGATAATTATGGTGTTCTTGGTAATTATATGGAGTTCTTGATGATTATGTGTTGTTCTTGATAATTATGTGATGCTCTTGATGTTTATGTGTTATTCTTACCGAACCTTGCAATTAGAAGACGAACCGTATTCTTGTTGATATAAAAGTGATTAGAACCCTAGGTTGTATCGTATGATCTTATTCTTGGATTATCGGGTGGGGAAATCGCATGTTTGAGTGTTGATTATATTTAGAAAAGCATGATAGGTTATGTGCCGTCCGTTTCTTGTATTTGATTCGTTAATTGTCTACGTGTTGTCGTTAATTGCGTTGTAAAGTGTCTAAGCATGGTTTCGGGTTCCACAATGGTTCCCGGGGCGTAAAGTGTGTGAAAAGAGTCAGTGGGGGGTAGGTGGGGGGTAGGGGACCCGCCACCTACCCACGGCCGTGAAACACCGCCCGGCAGCGGGTGGCCGGCGGGCGGGCAGCTGCCCGCCGGCGACCCGCTGCCCGGAACAGTATTATCCGGCGCCCCACCCACCGGCTACCCGCTGGAAATTCATCCCACCCGGGATCCCGGCTTCCCCGTTTGATGTTCCCCCGTTCCCCGTGGTGTCCCAACGGACTCCGTTTATCGTGCCTATGTCTAGTTTGATGTTTCGGGTACCGTTCGTAGGTTTATGAGTCTATTATATTGCATGCTAGTTGAATTGGTATCCCGTTGACCTAGGTGGAAGGAGTATGAACCCCTTAGGACTATTCTTAGTATGTGATGGATCACGCATAGGTTTTGTTATACGTTTTCTCCCCCTTCCTAATGTGTAATGTGGGTTGCATGTGCTTGCTATGTGTTATGTGTGTGTGTTACCCCAATTCGGTTGCGATCGGATTGGTTTTTCCTGAGCTGCGGTTCAGAAGCTGGCTGCGGTCAGATTGATACTCTTGGGCTACGGTCCACCGTTTGGTTGCGATCAAACGTTTCTATACGAGCTGCGGTTCGTCCTTTTTCCTGGCTGCGGTCAGATGACATTCTCTTGGGCTGCGGTCCACTGTTTGGTTGCGATCAAACACTATGATGAGCTGCGGTTCATCGGTCGGTTGCGATCGACCCCTCCATGTTGCGATACGGGGCAGGGTGCTGCGGGGCCGTGTCAGAGCTATATGCGCTGACCCTCATGTATGGGCATGCGATTGGTCCTGTGGCGCCAACAAAGTGTGTTATGTGTTGTGACATGGACGAGTTGTGATTACGAGTGTCTTGGGGGATGTGACTATGGGATTTATATTGGGGATTGTTCATGTTGGGTTATGATCATTGTTTATGCTTTGCCTTATCTGCCTTATCTGTTGTGAACTGCATATGCTCGTTATAACTGTGCTTGTGTCTGGCCTTATCTGTCGAGTCATTCCCGGTTTTAAAGCTAGAGTTCGTAGGATATATCTTCATGCTCAAAATGGTTTTCGTATATCTATATATACCTCTATATGTATTGTATTTCAACGCGTTGGAGTGGGTTACCAGCATCTCTCGCTGAACAGATATATTTGGCTTTCAGGCACAGAAGATTAAGTCACTGGAGCGCGCTAGAACTTGGAGTATAGAAGTAGATAGTTTTCCCTTTTGGCCTGCGTGCCACGTTTACGTAATTACGCTTTGAGGATATTAGTTAGTTAGCCTGTGCACTTGGGTTCTCTGGCCCAGGTGTGGCATAGCACCCCGTACGCTTGTATTTATCTCTTGGAATTTAATGAGATTCTACCTTTATTATAAGTTTTAAAAAGTCTTGAAAATCTGGGGTGTTACAGTTGGTATCAGAGCCTAAGTTTGACCCTAGGATAAGACTCTTAAGACTGGACTTTAGGACATTAGGCTTGAACTCTAGGTACCTAGGAACATAGGACTCAGGAATCTTAGGACGAGCGGTGAGATTGTGAAACCTACACATAACTTCTCTACACTTTACCCTTCCTCATTCTAAAACCCTTCCCCACTTATCACTTCATAAGGAGTGCGTCAAACTCTAATTTAACGTTCTTATAAACACTGACCAGAAAAACGATAGCATGGCACCAAACAGAAGGCAATCAAGAACTCCAGTGCCCGCCACAGACGACCCCTTGACCCAAACCCTACGACAGCTGACACAAGTCGCACAGGCACTAAGTGACGGGGCCCTTCGCAACAACAGGCCCCCACCACCTCCATCAAACGCAAACTCAGACGCCGCCCGACAAGTTTCAAATCACCGACCACCCACGTTTTCGGGAGAAGAGGATCCTGCGGTCCTGGAAGAATGGATCCGAACCCTTGACAAGATTTTTGGGGTAGTAGAATGCCCGGAGGAACGCCGCGTAGAGATAGCCTCATTCTACTTCGGGCACGAGGCCGATCTCTGGTGGATCCACGAGGGACCCACTTATCAACAAGAACCGGGGTTCAATTGGGAGAACCTCAAGACACGACTACGAGAGAGATTCTATCCAACCCACGTGAAGGCATCCATGTACGAAGAGTTCCTTCATCTAAAACAAGGAATGGCCACCGTCGTAGAATACCATAAACGATTCCTCATGCTGGCACGCTTCGCGCCAGAGCTAGTCCCCACCGAGGTAACCAAGATAGAGAGATTCGTGTTGGGCCTCAACTTCGAAGCTCGAAAGGCGCTAGTGGTAAGCAGACCTTGGACCCTCAACGAGGCTTACTCCAGTGCCGCGAATCTCTATCGGATCCAACTACTCCAACGCGGAGTTCAGGAACAAATACGAAGAAGAAACACCGGAAGTGGGGCACCGCCAGTGAAAAGAACGAGAAACGACACCGGCACAAGGACGAACAACCCGACCAACCAAAGACCGACCCTGGGAAACAACGAAGCTAATCCAAGAAGCTTCCCTTGCCCGAGATGCAACAAAAGCCACAGGGGCAAGGATTGCGCAGGCAACCCCTGGCGATGCTTCAACTGCGGAGAG